TTTTTGGCTTAAAATAAGTCATTTTTTACTTCAAATAAGTCACTTTGATAATTGTCAAACACTCTAATAAGTAAAAAAATGACTTTTAATTCAGTTTGACCAGCTTTTAAGCCCATCTAACACATACTCTTAATTTATCCAATTCACTTCAATTTGAATCAATCATATTTTTAAATTTAACTTTGTAAGACTATTTATAATTCTTTGACACATGATCTTAAACATTTCAAGCTTATAATAATTAGATTAATAATTAAATTTAAAAGACATTATCTCTAATTCTATTGATCTGCGTGATATACCAGTATATATAATAAGAATACTTGAACAAAAGGTTTATGTTCCGATTGGACTTGCTACACAAATATTCTTCATTGTGTGACAAGAAAAACAGATTATGTGTAGGACGTATACATTAGCCTAAAATTGATATAGGCCAACACACAAAAGCAAAATATAATGCCCCAACCTAATCACGTCTATGCCACGTGAAGTGCATATGCAAGTAATATGGTGGTCATTTTATTCATGTGTCCTTGTATATATAATATAAATATATATATATCCTTTTGTTACATGATAGGATATGATTGTCCCAATAAATAAGCAAATGATCACAAAATTGACACTCCTAGGAGCCATTTATTTTTAATTTGTTCTCTTTATGTTCTGTGACCACCACCACCACACAATCTTATGGCCTATACCACCAAAAAAAAAAAATTATCAAGAATTTTGCATAACACCTATCTTGTCTAAGATAGATAAAAGAAAAAGTTTGGGAGACAAAAGTACACCAATCAAACAAAGAAATCTATAAATTGACAAAATTAGTGATTGCTTAAAGAAATTTAAGTGTGCTTGATTAAAAGAAGGGGACAAAACACACAAAATCTAGCCCCTAAAGATATTAAAAGTGACTTTTACCGCTCGTCGGAACAAGTTTAAAAAGAACATAAAAATAACGATCTAACTTTTATTTAATGACGAAAATACCCTTGCTAATGTTTCTTATAGATTATTCATCCATTTTCTATCCCTCTTTGAGTATGATAACAGTAAACATAAGATTATAGAGATTTATGGTTTTTAATTTCTTCAATACAAAAATTAAAAAAAAAAACAAATGCTAGATATTATATGTGGAGGGCATTGTTGTCATAAATTTGATAGGCCAATAGGAGAGGGGAATTGGGGCATTTGGTTTCTAGGATCAGGATGTCATGTGGGGGCAGGGAAGAAAAAGCATTACATTATGTTTTAGGTTTGATCAAATATTATTATTAGGACCTAGCTAGTAGGGAAGTTATGATATTATTATTCATATAACAAGACAAAAACCATATGAAATAAACAGACATATATAGCTCATTTCTCACCACTAGCAGTTACAACTCAAAAGGAGTTTGCTGTCAAGCTTGCCTTGTATGAATTTTAAATCAGTACAGTGTATAGGATAAAAAATTAATGTTAAAGCCTATAAGCATTGGTGGAGTCACATGTACTTAAAAAAGATTTCAAAATGATAATATTTTATTGAAAAATTATATTATATAGCATGATAATTATGTAATCATTGTTTTTTTTAAAAAAATTAATTCTTTATATTTTGATATGAGAAAATTCTAACTTTGTTAATATTTGTAGACTTGTAATTAAAAACTGAACTGTATTGTTCATAGACAAATTTGATCGTACCTCATTTATTTATCAAAAATCTTAGCTACGAATTTCCACTTTAAAATAATATTGAAAATTTCACTTCATAAGGCTTTTCCTTTTTACGTGCATAATGTCTAAAAAATGTGACTGGAATAGTCAAAATCTTGACAGTTGGATTTGGGTATTACAAGTACCTAGTATTAAAGTTGGTATCTCCTTAATATTGTGGTGACAGTTCTTAGTTCGTTTTGGATTGATTATTAATTAAAATTAAAATTAAATTAATTTAATTGGTTTTTAAATTCTAGAATCAAATCAAATCAAACGAAAAAAATTATCATCGGTTTGATTATTATCGGTTTGATTATGTTTTTTTGGTTTATTCAGGTTGAAAGTAATATTTTTTTTGAATATGTACATATCTCGATAGACATAAACACCAATTAAATGAACAATCTACAGAAATGCTAATATTGGTTCAGTCAAGCAATTAAGCGATATTAGAGTGTGTGACTCTTTTATGTGAAATACAATATGTAAAGACTAAAATAAATTTTGATGAACTTGGATTTGAGATTGTTATACTTGGGTTAAATTTAGTGGGATTGAGAAAATAATAAAGTTAAAGACTTAAGTTAATTAAAATTTAACAAAATATTTTTAACTTATTTGTGAATAATATATAAATTATTATAAAATTTATATATCTAATTTATCGGTTTGGTTTAATTATTTTTGCGGTTGTGTTTTAGTAAAACCTAACCAAATAATATCGGTTTTCAAAATATAAAAATCAAACTTAATCAAACTAAACCAAGTATTGATTTTTTAATGGGTTTGATTCGAATTACAGTTTGATTTAATTGTTAACCATAATCATGAACAACCCTAGTGACAATATTCTCAATTAAGATGCAAGAGAGGAGCTCGAAGTCGATGTATGATTTGAGTCGAACACTTATTTATCTTCAACATTTACAAAATTTACTAGGCATCATGAAGGTGTATCATCTATTTTTATACCAATAAATAAATTTTATCAACTAACTATTATTTCATTAATTTACATTGTAATTATCCAATTTATTAGGCATAATTTTTAATACATAGTAAACAATATACCAAACTAATAATAATTATATTAAAATCAAGAGTACTGTAAATATATTTAAAGGACAAAAAAATTATTTAATTTTATTAAGTTAATATAAATATTTATGGTCAAATCTATTAGTGAGCTATTAAAGTTGGCATTATATTTCACTTAGATACTTTAATCGAATGATTTTCGCTTTAGATTTCTCTCTGTTTGATGTTCAATATATACACAATATACTGACATAAAAAATTAGAACCATATCATTTTAATAATCAACATAAATTTTGTTTAATTTTGTGTTATGACCACAGAGATAGTTTGTCCAATTTTCATCTTTAATTGCGGACATAAAACTTGATATCTTTTTTAAAAATCATTAAAATAATGTACATCAAATGTCTACAGTAAAACTTCACTAAATTAATATAGTTATGACCGTGACATGTTATTATTTTATAAAGGTATTATTTAATCGATAAATTAATAATTAGTAATTTATAAAATAATTTAAGACTCGACCTTGTGATGTTAGGATAATAAAAGCTTTGAAGATGTATTATCGTAACATATTTTTGAATATTAAAATGATAAGAAGTGGACATGAAACTGGTTCATGAAAGACTAATGTTTTGTATGCTATCAATTTTGAAATTCTGGCTTGGACAATAAATGTTCAGCAAGAGACAACAACAAATTGTTTTCTACACTACAAAATTTGTTTGGATGATGAAATCTCAAAGAATTTAAATGAATCCACTTGTGAAAACATCATTTATGCACTTAAGATCATAATTAATGATTTCAGTTACCGCAATAAAATGAACGTCAATAACCTAGTGGATTATCCAGGTAAAAATTATACATATTGATTAAATGTCCAAAATTTAGAAAAATTCTGGATACCATAAAACATACCTTTGAAATCAGTCACGCGTAAGGAAACATTTATCGTATCTAGAACTCTTCATGATTTTTTTGGTGCAATACAAAAGGACAACACCATAACTTTTGGATGCAATAAAAAAAAATAGAGATGAACTTCAATTAGATTTAAAGTTTAATGAAAAAGCAAAACACAATAGAATCACATTTCACTTAATTATCTTAGAGATACTTATACTTTTATCAAAATAAGTAATTTTTTTCATTGACCCAGATCGAAATTGAAAAACATATTATCTTAAAAATTATTAATTTACCGAATCTTAATTTAGTGAGGTTTTATGTACTATAGCCAATCTATTATTTGTTTAAATCTTTATTAAAACTATATAAACAATTATTTGTCAATATTTGGTTAAATACTTGTTTAATAGTATACCAAATGCAAATTCTCATTTTGACTTCTAATTAGGACAATATTAAAACATATCTTATCTAAACTCATGACTAATGATATATACCCATACAACTTTGCGATGTTAATGGTTATAACTATAAAGGGAGAAAGAATGTCTCATATGTGTGGGAAGGAATATTAGAGATAGATGCCTTAACGTGCAGAAATTTATATTTCAATTTATATGACATTGGCAGAGTCAAAATAAAAATGTTGAAGTTTAAAGTTTAAGATAAAAAAGAAAAATATTTTTGAACCTAGAAAACTAGCGTGGAAAGCATTTTCATAATCCCTTCCTTATTATTAAGCCGTTAATCAATTTTGCGTATCTTTTAATTAAAAAAATTGCCAATTTTCTAATACATCAGAAAAAACTATTGAATTCGTCCGAACTCACAAACTCCCACTTAATTTTTCCTCTGATCTTTATTGTATTTTGAAATTCAAATCGTATTTTTTGTATATCTTTAAATATTTTAGATCGTTAATAATTATGATTTATGATGTTTCATGTATATATTTTCAATTTTTTTTTAAAAATAATTCTATAATTGAATTGAATTCAGTTAACTGTCGAAATTGGAATGGTATGGAGATATATTAGAGTATACTACTATATGTTATGGATTAAATTTTTCTTTGAGGACAGGATGGTCCATTAAACTTTTGATCTTTCGTTTGTCCAATGATAGTCTATTCTATCCATTTGCTTCCTTTCATTTCTTGTCCCCTTCCTTATATCGACACCAACACTTCCCCTAAACCACTCAAATTTTACAGTATTTCATTTCTATTATATTTTTATTATTTCTTCCCAGCATTCCTTGTCTATATATATATTCTTCTCATTTTCATCACCTCTTCACATACAACTAAATTCCAATTCCAATTCCTCTTCTTCAATTCCAATAACTCCTAACTTCTACTACTATGCCTTCAATTATCTCATCACAACTCGATTTGTACTCGATAAAAGAATTACCCGAATCACATGCATGGAAATCCTCATTGGACGACGATGGATCGCGTAATATTAATGCGGAGTCCATTCCAGTAATCGATCTAAACCATGATCATAAATTTGTCATGGATACAATTGGCCATGCATGCAAAACATGGGGTGCCTTCCAAATAGTAAACCACAATATATCGCACCGATTACTTAACCATATGGAAACACACGGGACGAGATTATTTTCCCTTCCGATGCAACAAAAATTAAAAGCAGCTCGATCGTCCGATGGCATCGCTGGCTATGGAGTCGCTCGAATTTCTTCTTTTTTCGATAAGCTCATGTGGTCCGAAGGATTCACAATTTTTGGATCCCCTCTGGAACATGCCCGCCAACTTTGGCCATACGATTACAATAAATTCTGGTACACATTAATTAAACCCTATACAAAAAATATTAAATCCGTGCACCTACCTACACAATTTTTCGCCACTTTTTTTTTATAAAAAAAGTAACTATTTTTCGTATCTTTAATTATTATTTTTTTGAATTTTTCAGTGACGTCATCGAAGAGTACGAAAATGAAATGGAAAAGCTAGCGGGAAGATTAATGGGTTTAATGCTTGGGTCCCTTGGAATAGCAAAAGAAGATGTTAAATGGGCCGTTGGCCCAAGAAGCGGTAGTTCGGCCCTACAACTAAATTCTTACCCGGCTTGTCCGGATCCGGATCGGGCTATGGGTCTTGCTGCACATACGGATTCTACCCTATTAACAATCCTTCACCAAAACAATACAAGTGGTTTACAGGTATTTAAAGAAGGAAACGGGTGGGTAACGGTTCCTCCGCTTCGCGGGGCATTAGTTATCAACGTGGGTGATTTGTTACACATATTGTCAAACGGGTTGTACCCGAGTGTTCTACATCGGGCGATAGTGAACAGGACTCGACATCGTCTTTCAGTGGCCTATCTATATGGGCCACCGTCAGGGGTGAAAATTTCACCCCTATCGAAATTGGTAGACCAAAGGAACCCTCAAATGTATAGGCCAGTGACGTGGAGTGAGTATTTGGGAACTAAGGCAAAACATTTCGATAAAGCACTTTCATCTGTTCGGCTTTGTGCTCCTCGTATTGGGTTTGCCAATTCCAAGGATCAAAGTGGCGTCCAAGTAGGTTAATATAACAAGAAGTATCCACTTTTTTTTTTTTCCTGAAAATATCTCTCTACTTATGTTCCTTCTTGACCCATTGGAAGAATTTAGATCAATCTTTATCTTTGTGAGAACTTTTATATAGGGGCATGTGTAGCTTTAGGTCAGCAGATTCGTCTTAATTCATTATTTCGATCCAGAACATAATTTTTATATGTAGAAGTTTAATTAAATAATCGTATCATAAATATGAATATTTAACTTTAAAAACATATTGGATTCCATACCAAAAATCTAAAAAAACTAAACTAACAAAATTTAACTTTTATATGGCTACATCGAAAGTAGACATGTAATATATTATTATATTATTATTAAAGTAAGATAATTCATTTGATATAAAGTGAGTGTGTGTATATATAATATAAAACACATTGGACAAAATGAAGGGTTCCCATAGAAATGGGGCGCTTACTAGTACTAGAGGATAAGCTAAAGGTCAATCATATTACATCATTCAAAATAAAAATATTAGATGCAAACAAGGAACAACGTGTGTTGGCACTTCTGTCGCGCGCGGTGGGTGGATAGAGGGAAGACGCTCTATATGAGCTGTAATATTGTTTGACTGAGCATAAAATTTTAAAAATAAGAAAAAAGAAATTTAATTAATACTTTCTGTTATACTTATTAGAATTACTTTAATAATATTTCATTTAATTGAGTTTTCTTTCACAATAAAGTGTTATATGAGGTGCGTGTGAACATAAATAAAAGACAGAAGAAGAAACATGATGTTACGTTATAACTTACAAAATAAAAAGAGGAGGACAAGATTTAAGTAGATTAGATCAAACATTAGGACGGCATAGCGGCAAATCAATGTTTCTTAAAAAAATAATAATAGTAGAAAACAAAAGCCCACATTTAGTCATTTAAATGTATTACGGCGTACAAGTCGGTTTTAATTTAATTTAATTAGGTTTGGTGTCTTTGTGTATACCTCAAGAAGTGATGTTGGGCTAAAACATCCATGCTAGTAGTGATTGTCTTGAGAAATCATGTGCCTTTTTCTCCACAAAATAGCCAAACCCCAAACCAAAAAATAGCTATGTCTTCACTCATGCAAATATATTTACCTTTGTAAAGATAATGTTAAGTCTTGATTGGACCGTGAGAGTTGTGTTCTCAATTATTCCTGCCCTTTCTGTAGGATGAAAAATCATATTCAGGTGGAAATAATATTGGATATATGACAACTTTAAATAAAGGAAATCAATATGGGCTGTTTATATGTTATATAAACGAGTTGATTTATCATAAGGACATTTAAATAATATCGTATTTCAATTGGAAGTCATTGATTTACTTCTCCTATTTGCAAAATTTTCTTTTTGTTTCTTTGCAAGTTTCTGATTGATATACACTTTTGGCAATTTGATCAAAGGTTATGTGGCTTTTGAAAGAATCTTCATTACGAGTAAATATAGGGAAGTTATTTCTCGAGATTAAATAAGAGATATCTAATTAAGAATGTTAAAAATCGTCCTACTTTTAACCTTCCATTGTAATTAAATTATTTAAGAGACCAACAAACAACTTAATGGAAAGAAAACAAAAATAGATACTAATTGGTTTCTTCAGTCATTAGATTGTATATTGTCCCATCGTTTTGTCATGTGATTTTGTTGTGCTTAAATTATTGAAAAAATGATTTTATATTTTTAAAAGATACTCGATCGTATAGCATCAAAGTCGTTGTAGTATAGTGGTAAGTATTCCCGCCTGTCACGCGGGTGACCCGGGTTCGATCCCCGGCAACGGCGCTTAATCTTTTTTTTCCCTTTTGTTTTTTTCTCTCTTTTTAAGTCTTGCTTCGACTCTTCAAAAATGTCATGTGTCTGATCCACCAAAATAGTGAATTTAATAACATAGGGTAAGGGCCTATAACATGATTATGTTGAACCAGTAATTAAAATGTTAATTAAATTCTAGGAACATCTCATGCATGATGGATTCATTTAGTTAATTATGTACCTCATTATCAGGCAGGTAAAAACAACAAACAATTCCGCAAGAAACAAAGTGTGCTCAAAATGTACATACAACAAGTCAGTGAGTAGACATTCTTTTTCAAGAGTAATAATCTCAGTCAGTCCACATCCCGGTCTTTGACACCGGAGGTAAGTTCAGCTTCAGCAGAAGGTAACCTCTCATAAACTCGGGACCCAACTGGTAGAAGCTTAATCTTGCCCAATCTAAGTGTCTGGCTAAGCTTCTCATAGTTCCACCTCTGCTGAATATACACAACAACTGCCAGTACAACTGCAGCCACTGGTATGGCAATGTCTCCAAACTTTGTGTAAAAATCAAACCTGGGGTTCACAAACTCGTACTCTTCCGAGAAATAGGGATTGGGAACAGGAGATCTGATGTAATCATACACATGAGGCAGAAGTCTAACCGACGTAAGTCCAATATAATATAGCTTCCTCAGTGGTTTGCAATGGATTTGCCAAAAAAGGTTTCCTATTACTTGAGGAAGCAAAAAGAAATCTTGAATCAAACCCATGTACTCCTCCAATTCAGTTTCCCATTCCCTCAAGGTGTGAAAATTTCCAGTGGAATCTACGTAACGTTCAGCATGAAGAGGTTTCTGGCTTGTATTGAAGGAGTGGATAAACAGAACAATGATATATCCAGCAACATGCATTACCACTGTACTGACAAGTACCCATTTGTCACTTGGAACACGGTGTGGTTCAAGAGGGCTCCTTGCTGATAATCTGATACGGGATCTCCACACCTTTTGGCTGAGCCTCGCTGTTACTAAAAAGGCAACTAGCACAAGAACCTTGACAGTATAATCAATCAGACGAATCCACTGGCTGTTTTCAAGATCATAAGATGGAGTCTCATTGATTTCAGCACCCATCATTTTGAACAAAGCTTCTGCACCTGTGATCAAAGGTAGGCCGTATCCAACAGCTTGGACACCTAGCATGGCAAGCGAGACATACGGGACCGATTCCGCATTACCTCTGATGTAAAATAGTTGGCTGAGAATGCAAAATATTGCCAGAGAGAGTGTCAAGATGCGCAGGATGCCCTCTACGCCCCTACGGGAAAGAATGTCTTCTCGCTGCTTCCTGTACATAATGGGGAATGTTTTAATGTTTACGGGATTAAAGTAGAGTGGATCATCATCATTTCTTTGAGAGGATACGGAGATTTTAGCTGTTGGATTGACCAACCAACGAGCAGTGGTTGGTGGGTATGTTATAACCACCTCAATCAGACAATCCAATCCAGCCTCAAGGTCCATACTTTCTGATAGAATTTTCCAAGAGGCTCGAACATCCCTGCAACCAATGAGGTACATATTTCCGACATGTGGATCATACATTCCCTCAACAAAAAGCAACGAGATGTTACTGTATGACGTCCCAGTGAGACTAAGTTGAGCAGAAACATTTAAGAGAAGCTGTTTTTCTGTGTATTCAGCCTTAGCATGATAAGAATTCTCTTTTTCACCGATGGAACCGTTTGTCAAAGGCCCAAACATTTGACCAAGAGAAAGAATCTCCATTTCAATTTCAACTCTTTGGTTAGCTGAACCAGAGATTTGATCTGCAACTGCTGAGGTGTGTAGGGAGAGATCTTCAGAAAGAATCGAAAGGCTGACGGAAAAAGAATCTGCATCCTCCAGTCTTGGGAATGTCAACAGTGATTTCTTAAACATTGAACCAAGGGTAAAGGGCTCATTTTTCTCAAGGACTGTAGCAGCTGCATTGATTTTTGAGTATTTGTAGTATGGACGAGAAGCAGTATATTGATCCCACAGCTCAACAGGGCGGATCAGTTTCTCAAATGATAAAGGAAAGTAACGCCTACTGCTTCCATCAATACTGGAAAAATGGCCAATAATTATGCTCCTTTGTGTTATAGAAAAGGAGAGTGGAACATACAAGCAGATTCGCGAATCACAGTTGCTGTCTTCTGCACCAACTACTCCTCGGCAACCAACCATACAAAGCTGTCCACTGGAAGATTTCCAAATTCCCTCAGCAGAAAGAGTCATGTTACTAAGCCCAGTCCTTTGTGCTGCGGTGAACTGATTCTCCAATGGAGAAATCACTCTAAACACAGAAGAGACCCTAGAAGAAGTGACATTATCTTTTACAGATATTGTATCACATCGAACATCCTGAAGGACAAGCTTGACGTCCTTAAAACCCCCATCAGTGGCATTTATCTCCTTGTCCGATCTGAATGGACCCAATTGACTGCAAAAATCATCTGTACCGTTGCATTTCCAGTTTGGCACAACTGTTAAGGCTTCTTGCTGAGTGAATCTTTGAAGAATATAACAGAAGTCAAGCCCTCGATAAGTATTTATCTCAGTACTCAGACTATCTTTGTACGGATATGGATCACAAGCTTTTGACACAAACTTTTCAGAGCCGAATTCGTACTTTGAAGAAGTTCCCAGCCAAGAAGACATATGAACTTCATCAAAGTACTTAAAACTCGTCTTTGGGTTTAAGCTTTTCATGGTTCCTAGAACAGCTCTATTTGTCAGTGTATTTGTTCTAGGATAATGAAGCACGAGCAAAATTTGATCATCTTGCATAAGAGGTGGCTGATTAGTATAACCAGATTCCTTTACCCACTGCCATGGATCAGTAGACTCTTGCTGACGAGAAGGCAACATTGTTGTCCCCAACAAACACATGACTCTTTCCCCTTGATTTTTCTTCGATTCAATGTATACTCCTTCAAAAGTCACCGAAAGCTGGGAATGACCGGGCCAAATATCAAAATGAGGACTTCTCTCATATGGTTTACTTGAAAACAAGCCATCTAGGGTGATACCAATCTGCAATATCCCACTCACACTCACTGATTTCTTAGACTGATGAGCACGATCAACATTCGTAACCCAAAAAGAAACTAAGTTCAACGGAGATCGAAGATCCGATGATCTGTTTGAAAGATCTCTATCATCAAAAGGCATTATTGAAGCAGCCCCATTAGACACTTGCCTCCAATCTCCATTCAGAAAACTTAATTCATGTTTTATGCTATAAATTCTGTTATCATCAGGTTCCAATTCAGAAGCAGAAGCTAAAAC